CCCAGCACTTGTTGACAGCTATCCAAAACGGCTGCTTGGAGCACTCCGCAGATGACTTCCGAACTCTCCAAATCCTGAAAACACCCTGAAACACCCAGGTTTTTATCAACCTGCTTCCTAATAGCACCATTTTTAAGATCTGCAATTTAATGTACCACTTGTTGCCTGCCTTGTGGTTACATCTGTCCAAGCTGCTTTGAATTAGCAGAGTTGCACACGTTCAGCATGGCAGTCAGGACTTGGAAGCAGCGGCAAGCAGGCGCAGCATGTCACATTGCGAAGGCTACAGCTCCCTACCTGGGTGGGCTCAGGCCTAAGTAGAGACGCCTTTTTATCTCAAGCACAAAGAGGGCTGCGGAGTCGCGTTACGGTTCCTACTTAGTAGGGGAGTAGCCTAGCTCAAACCCTCTAGCTCTTTGGTAGTAACATACACTCAGACGCGTATGTTTCGCACCCCCCTCAAAGGCTGAGGGTCCACGTGCGGTGAGGCCCGCAAAATGCGGTGCTCCCGCACTGTGCGGGGTTGCCGCTAAAGCGGCGGTGACGTCCCTTTAGGGATCTGTTTGGATGTGCCCATCCCGGCAGTGTCTGCAGACGGGCAACTCTGTGGTGGCACGATAGCGCACCACGAAGCAATGATCCACCAAATGTGGAGTCCTGTAGGCATCATATTGTGCCCACACATGCCTCAGTTCCCTTGTCATGGGAACCCCTGCCGGCCAGTTCTCCTGGCAGTAAGGGCAGATTTGCACACCTCGGATTTCTGCGTCAGGGACAGGGGCAAGCCCTGAGCAGTTCCTGAAGATGTGTGCTGTGCGCCTTGTCGGTGCGTAGTACATGGCGCCTTGCTCCCTCACTGGGATTTGCCTAGCACCCCTATTTCTTTGTCTCATCCCCCCTTGGGGTGGTTCAGGTGGTGCTGCTGCCGCTGCTGCAGCTTGCTGAGGGACCTGTTCTTGGTCAACAGGCTCTGGCTCTGGAGCTGGAGGCCTGTGATCCCTCAGCGGAGGTGCCCGCACTTGTAGTGCTGGGGCTTCTGCAGGTTCGACCTGCTCCTCCTCATCCTCAGTGGGATTTTCAGGTTCAGGAATTTCATCTTCCTGGTGAACTTGCGGTTGCTGAAGTTCTTGAGGTAGGATCTCCTCCTCTGGCTCACCTTCAGGCTCCGGGCCTTCGGTGGCTCTAAAACACCGCCTCAGGCAGCACCTTGCTATGCCCCAACATGTCCCTAAGAAGAGGAACAGTCCAGTCAGGAGTCCTAGGAGGAGAACTCCATTTAGGATAAGGTTTAGGACCTCACCCACATCCTCCTGCTCCTGGGCTTTTATGCCTAGGATCTGCTGGGCAGTTGTAACTCCAATCAGGCACAGTTTGGGCCTGAAAGGAAGCAAGGGCTTCCACCGAGTAGGCGGGTTTATCCGCACTGTTTTCACAGAATGCTTTTGCAAAGCGGTGGCACCCGCGACCGTTTTAAGGTCTACCATGCCAAGAGATGGCAGGGCTTCCTGCACTTCCTTGCCCGTTTTGGCGTGTTTGGTCAGGAAGTTTCCAGGATTTTCTGTACCCTTGACCTTTCTTAGCAACATCTTGCCGGCCTGGACCGCGCCTTGCACGTAAAACTCACAGACTTCCAGGTGCCTGAGTTTGCTACCTGGGCCAATTCTTTTGGCAGCTGTGATGCCGGTGGAGCTATCGCTCCAAAGGCGTGGGATCTGGACCTCGAGTCCAAAATTCTTGGTGGCCAGTTCGTAGACGAACAGGGCCTCCCGGCATGCCCTACTAATCCCTCGAAGCTCAGCGTCCGGACTAGAGGTCGCCGGTAGTCCGGGCTGTGTCTGCGTTGTTGTGGTGATCACAGCTCCTCCCAGTACAACCACATGGCTGTCTGTGCTTCTGCGCGTTTCTGCGCAACCCCCCCAATCCGAATCACTGAACACATCTAGCACAAGCGGACCTTCGTAGGCCGCAGGGTCTAGAGTAGTGACCCGAACGAGGTCTGGGTAGGTTTGGAGGTACCTTCCCAGATTCTGAGCGCACTCCCAGTCGCAAGCCCTTGGAGCTAGCTCCTTTACCGCAAACTGTATGTCGCGGCGGTCCGCTGACAAGTAGATCGCGGAACCAACGGCTGAGCGATACTGGGCGGCTTTTCCGGCGCTCAGAGGTTCAAGGTTTTCCAGGTTTGCCTTCTTGGACGGAACCTGGCTCCTTTCCTTCGGCCCGATTTCCTCAAGCTCGTCTCGGTAGACCGAGCCTGCTGTACGTCTGCCGTACAGATTCCCATCCAGGCGGAACACCACGTCCTCAAATGGTATCCTTTGGGCTGGCGAAATTTCCCGCACCCACTCATCATAGAGGGGTCTCCACTCGGGCGGTGCCCGCATGTAGACGTACTCACCCGTCTGCGCTCCTCGATGAGGAACGCGGCAACGATGTCAAACGTCCGCATTGCATGGCCGTGCTGCAACGCTCGGACTTCCAGAAGGCTGTGTGCCTCTGGAGTTGGTGTTGGCACAAACACCTTGAGGTCTTGCTCCTCTTCGGCGGTGTACCCGCGCTTGACATCGGCACACGTGAAGCGTGACTTGTAGACGCCTCCCTTGGCCTTGTCTACCCACGTGTAGCGGAAGATCTTTGACCCTCTGGGGACGCTTCGTCGAGCCATTGGCGTGAACGCCTCAAGCTTTCCCAGCTTGCGTAGCTGAGCCACACGTGCTTCTTTCACGAGCCTGGCGTCTAGGACAGTCCAGGTAGTCCATCACCGTCGCGAGCCTCTGCTCTGCGAACGGGTTCCCCGGCTCCTCGGAGTCTGCCCATTCCTAGATCTTTCTCCAGAGGTCTTCCGCTCGGATGGCTCCAGCTTGGGACTTTTTCGGTTCCGCCTTCGTTTGCTTTGGCGGTCTCTGTTCCCCCGCCGGCGCCTCAGCGCGCTTCGTGGGGCTCGAGGCAGGGCTCAGGTCAGGTGGTGCCCTCACGGCGGTTGCGCCCGCACTGGTCGCCCATCATGGCCCCGCGTGATCGGCCAGCGTCTCGAGCGTCGCGTGGCAGCGCTTCTATGTCGACCCTGTTGCTTGGGCCGTCGTGGGCTAGCTCCGGTGGCTGTGGTGGTCCGTCTTCCTCGTACACTCGCTCGTGTTCGTCGTTTGGGAGAACAACCACTAGTGGCGCTTCCCGCAACCGTCTTCCCCAACGTGGTTCCCATGGCACACCTGCCACGGTGGCCATGAGAGCTGCCTGGTTTTGGGCTGCCGGCGGCAGGGCGGACGGACCGCACAGTCAGAGCACCGGCCTCCGTGAGGATGATGTTGCTGTTGTCGCGTTCCAGTCTACCTACCCACAGGCCTTTTACCCAACATTTCTGCACTTTGGTCGCTGGGTTTGGCAGTTTTGCCATCACTGTTTCCCCAAAAACGCACACGGGGGACTGGTAGTCCACTCCATTTACGATTCGGTAGGCTGTTGCCTTGTCAGTCGCGCGTACCTGGAAGCGCGCTGCTAGCCAGGCTGCGCGGCGAACCAACCACGAAAAAACCACAGCCCGACCATGCAATCCGGGCACCGGGTTTGCAGGTCCAGTAGCCACGCGCGCACCAAACCCGCTAGCTGGCTGTGCTCGCCTTCTACTGCCCCCTGGCTCTGGTGGGAGTAAGGCGGCGCTTCCCGCACCTTCACCTTATCCGCGCCCATCCTTTTCTGGATGGCCCAGGCCACGTTTCTGAGAGCGTTTTCGGCGCCCAGCTGCAGAGTTACCCGCTCGTGCCCTAGGGTGTTTAGGTACTGCTCTACGCCGTCAAGTACGTAGGCACTGCTTTCCCCCCTTTCGTGGCACTTGGGCGCTTAGGGGCCACCCGGTGTCTTTGTCAACCAGGTTTAGGACCTCGGCGGCCCTTTGCTCTACCGCAGCGTCTTCGTCAGCTGCTGCTGCGGCGGCTGCTTCCCGCTCTGCCTCTCTCCGGGCCCATTCCTCCACAGCTTCGGCCTCGGGGTCGTCAACTATCACGTTGATAACTTCGGCCGCTACTGGTGCTATGGTGGCCCGTTTGGCTTTCTTGAGCTCGGTGTAGGGCATTAGGAACTGGTTCCCCTGCCTGAAGAAGTCGGCTTGTTGCCCATCTCCCCACTCGATACACGCGTGGCTTGTGGAAAACCACCTTGGCACCCGCATCCACGGCCCTGTTGACCGAAAGGATGTCGTCGGTGATGCCCTCAACCACCTGGCAGGTAGTCCTAGCGGTCTGGCGATTTTGGTCGCCAAGCTCCAACACCGGTTCCGTAACACCTTGGGTGTTCAGAAGCGTGTCGTCCACCGAGTACAGTTTCTGCTTTTGTTCTAGGTCGACGGCTGCCTTGAAGGTTCCGGGCCGGCATACTGAAACAGTAGCCCCTGTGTCCACCAAAAGGTGTCCTTGGCGGATGTCCCCGCCCCCAATTCTGAGCACGCGCATGTGCTCATCGGAGATGCGCCGCAATCCTGGTTTGGTAGTGCTGGCGGTGCTCCCCGCTTGGGATGCGGAGGGGCCCGCAGAGAGGACTGACGCGTTGTCGTCTGCCACTTGGTTGACAGTGTTTCCTCCCTTTTTGCCTTGGCCCTTTCCTTTTCCTTTGGAGTTGAACCAGCAGTCTTGGACTCTGTGGCCTGCGCGCCAACAGATGGGGCACTTTTCTTTTTCTTTGTTGTCCTTTCCTTTCTCCCCAAGCTGGTGGCCATCGCCCTTTCCTTTGGGTTTGTCACCCTTTTTGCCTTTGCCACTTTTGTCTTTGCCCTTTCCTTTGCCTTTGGGGCTTTCTTTATCCCCAATCTTGCCAATGTCCATGGCATCTGGGTCTTTGGCTCTGCCATGGTGGGCATAAGTGGCATTTGGCGTCCAGACTCTCTTAGCCTGGAGGCAAGAGACAACCACTTGTCTCACCTCATCATACGCAGTGAGGCTGCTTGCATGCATTGCAAGGTGCTGCTTGAGTGCAGTTGGGGACTCAACCATCAGAAGAGCTCTCTTGTCTTCATCTGAGATTGCCTTTTCATCCTCAAACTCAGTGGCATACTTAGCCAAGTCCAGCTCCCATTCCTGCAACGCTGCGCTGAATTCCACCTCTTTTGAGGGGAACTTTGGGCTTAGCACTTCATATCAGGCTGAGGTAGGTCTCAGCCTGCCACACAAACCTTTCCCAGTCGTCACTCCCTTTTAGGGGTTTTGAAACTTGCCCTAGGGGTCCTACGCCACCGACCGCGGGGTTAAGCTGCAGCGTTGCGTCGGTTGGCTCATCGCCCGCTTCGCTCAGGCGAGGCCAGCTCCAAGGCTGGGGGTCAAAATCAGGGGTTAGGCTCTTTGCCTACGTGCACGAACTCTGCCTCGGAGTCCAGTCTAGACTGAGGGTGTCCTTGCGTCCCTCCTCCTTGACCGGCGCAAGCGGTGTCGGGAGGGTTTTTCAGGCTCGGTATAGGGCCTTGAAGGCTGCGAAGGCGCGGGCTGCGCAGGCTCGTAGGAGCTGCTGCTCTCGTCCTGCGCGGGGTTAGCCGGCTTGGGCACGGGCCTCGCTCTTTGCGGCCGGAGGCTCCTTGGCCTGTGCAGTGGAGGACTCGGAAGCGCTCTCTCTGGCCTTCAGCTGCTTTTCGACGCGGCGGCTGTCTTGGTGGCGGGTCTGCCCGCTCCAAGGAGCAGGAAAACCCTGGTGCCTTGTTTTGGGCTAGCCCGACGGCGGCTGCCCGCACCAAGCTCTATTGGCCTAGTGCTTTGGTATGTCAGGTTTTAAGGTCCCTGGTGACCTGTCAGATCGCACCTTTTTGGGCGGTGCTACCCGCGAGTTCACCCAAGCGGCTCCTCCAGAACCACGGGGCAACCCGCTGAGCTCTCTGTCCCAAGGTGGATCAGAGTAGCTCCGCTACCATGCGAAGGCTACAGCTCCCTACCTAGGTGGGCTCAGGCCTTTTGCACAAAGAGGGCTGCGGAGTCGCGTTACGGTTCCTACGAAGTAGGGGAGAAGCCTAGCTCAAACCCTCTAGCTCTTTGGTAGTAACATACACTCAGACGCGTATGTTTCGCACACATGCCAAAGTCGACATATGGCCATGCAAAATCACAACAGCAAGGACCCATACGATGAAAAGTGGAACTGCAAAACTCACGAAGCACTTCTGGCACGCTGCTTGAAATTGGTCCCAAATGTTTCCAGTACTGTTCTAGCGAACAAATTTCACTCGCTAAAATGTCTGCGGGTCTAATTGTCTAGGTTTGCGGTTGCCACTTCCGACCGCGAGTTTGCAACATAGCTTTTCAAGATCAAGAACCTTTCTGACGAGCATCAGGCGCTGAACGTTCGGCTAATACCACTGGGTTCCGATCGACGTTCTCAGGACCCAAAACCGAAAAATACAATGCGGCCGAACACTCTCAGGCCTTAAAAAGCCGACAATGAAGAAGTAAACGCCGTAGCCCTCATACGACCCACTCTACTGCAGCAAACACACCAAAACCATCCAACCTATGTCACAACACGCAAACTTTTATGAGATGCAAGAAACTCAAGCAATAATTTGCGTGGCAACGAGCCATGGTTTTTATTCCAACACGAACAGAAAGGAGAACGCAATTCTTTTGACAAGTTGACCTTCCGTGAAATGAAGTAAAGCCTCGCATTTTCTCGGCACGTGTTTCCGCAATGCCCTTCCGCAACCTGCTTTCGCATGGCTTTGCCCGGCCCCTTTCGCAAAATTATGTTGTATTCTTTGCGGTAGCGGTAGCTGTTTGTTTGCTCATGATTGGGATTAATGCAGCTGGTTACATATGATCTGATGCACACAAGCCATCAACGTCTTCGAAAGAAGCCATTTACGACAAAAGCCTGATAATTGGCAATGTTCTTTTGCCATTCCGATGGGCTTTGGGGAAACCTTCCACAAGAAAAATCTTCTGCGAACCTTCCGCATCCTTCAACCCGGACAGTCCCTTGCCATTTTGGGTTGCGGAGTGTCCGTGTTCAAGTATGATGCTTCCGGCACCCAAGCTTGACCCTCTCATCATGACTTTCAAACAATGCTTGCTGACTTCATCAGGCTCTGGCTGTGGGCCCAATAGTCTGGGCCCCGGCCCCGACCGATGAGTAAAAACTGCGAGGCCCCGACTGCCTTGACCGCTGACCGTCAGGCCTTAATTTTTTTATGAGTTTTGAACATGGCTATTCGACAGCAAGACTCGTTCCCATTATCTTCAAAAAACCTCAAGGGCTTAACTTGGCGTTAAACCTGGGGCTCCCAAAATCGGGCGCTCGCATGAGCTTCGCACATGCTTTCGAGGGTGAACTGCCAGCAACACTGGAATTGGGCCTGGGACTTCTGGCTGTAAGATGCTGACCATCAAGCTGTGGGCGTCGTGCCCGGTAAGCTTTAAACATGGTTTTGTGACCTTAGCACCTAGAACATGACGCATGTCCGCACAGCTGCGGTGGCGCAGATGCATCAGGCTCCCGCTGTATTTTGTTTGCCTAAGGGCGGGCAAATAGATAACCGACTGTGAAACTGCTGGCTGGGCTCGTATTTTGGCAGTTTGGGCTTGGGACCGACATCATGAACAAGACACCCGCAAGAATCGTCACTTAAAATGCCCAGTATGCTGCCACCGGTTCGCATCTGACGGAAATGATGCGTGAGCTCGACGGCTCGGATATCGGCTTACTACGCACCAAGCAGAAGCAGCAACCCCGCCCTGCCACGAGCATGTGGATTGATCAATTTCTGTTGGCCCGCCAGCTACTGAGAAACACACCAACTCAGCAACTGGCGTGGCCATCGGCGTCAAAACTGCTCTTTTGCCCCCACGTTATCGCCGTCAGCTGGTATGCACCATGTGATCTACAAAGCCATGGAAGGGCGGTGAGATATGAAAAGCGAAAATCCTTCAACTGGCGTTTTCTCAGCGACTACTTCCCTGTCATTAGGCAGGATAACCCGGGCACGGAGCTTTCGCAGCTTCCGGTGGGTTGGATTAGGAATCCAATCATTTGCATAGGCACTAACGGCAAAGTTGGCAGGATTCGCGCGGGTGGTTATTTGATTCAGGGAGATGGTTATTGGGAATGGCATGATTTGGGTCTTGTGGAGAGGAGATCAAACATGAAAATGGCGCCTGCCTCTACCGTCTGCTCAAAAAGCAGTTCCTACAAACAGTCAAACATGGCCACCTTTTGGAGTCATGAGGACTACGGGTCCCGCATTACTCACATTTGTGCTCCGAAGGGTTCCTGAAGCTTGTTCTTTTTGGAGGCGCAGCACATGCTTTGCAGTTGCGCAACAACGCGAAGGCAGCTCTCAGTGCTCGATCTGTTGTCAGCCACAGTCCAATCAGGCCACAGTTCGCAGCACGCCAGATGTCCTTTCGGGCGGAACACGAAGGCCTTGATCGTGCACACGGTTGGCCATTGGGCGTCCCAGCTTGACAGGGCTGAAAGCTTTGCGCACATGGCCCGCGCCGGGCGTGTAGATGACATGCAGCGTGACCTAACCTAAGGTGTTGGGCGGATCGCCAAGGAATGCTTTGGCCGAGGCGTGCCCGCAGGCAAATATCACTATTCTGCTGAAGCCACGCAGCTTTGGCAAGAACAAAATTGACTTGCGCGCTACGTTGCATGGCCGTAACTTTGCGGCGGGCACTTCTATGTTGCATGAGTTGTTGAGACAGTGGCAGCTGGTTGTTCGGTTGCAAAACGCTGACATAGCAGTGGCCGAACATCGCGCATAGACAAGCAGCGACAAACGCTGGCATGGTCTGATGAGTTGGCGCAGAATTCCAGAAACATGATTAGGCTGCAGCGCGGCGACTCACACGTAAAATCGCTGGGACTGATGTTGGGCCAAAGCTTGAGCGGCTCAACCAGCCCTAGTCCACATGCCCCTGCGTCGAAGACTAGGCGAAGGATTTGCAAGCTTCTGATCACTGATCCGGAAGGTGGCTGCGAGGCTTCTGTTGTGTGTCGCGGCGACTCACAGGCTGAGCAAATTGTTGCATCGATGCCAAGTGCTGCGCCGAAACGAGAACCTAGCAGGGCGCCAGGCCCCCCGAACAAATCGTCGTCTTGAGACACCAAGTTACGTTGTTGAGTTTGTTGTGGGGTCGCAAAGGTCGCAGCGAGCACCGGTTTGTGCCCTGTGGAAGGCTGTAGCTGGTTGTGAGCTGTAAGCATCACTAGCCATCCACCATCAACTCAAATTCTGACTCTGAACCTGAAGCTTTTGGTCCTGCCAAACCACACCCTGGAAACCCTCTAGCACACCTCTCGATTTCTTGAGCCAACATCTGCAGGCACAGTTTGGCTGAATCTTGGACGTCGTCACCCATGTATCATCCACCTTAGCGCGCGCATCAGCAGTTTAAAGCTACCTGTATGACGACTAGGATGGTATTGGGACGCCCGATCACACTACTCCGCGGGCACCTCAGTGCACCGGAGTGGACACTTCTGGCACGCACAACAACATATTAAAGAAAAAAACTTTGAACCCGCCCTTGTCGTCCCAAGACATCCCTCCCTCACTGTCTGGCTCAACAGACTGACGGCTTGTCCGGACTTCAAGATCTCCGTCCAAATTCAGAGGGCATCTGGCACTGTGTTGGCGGGTCGTGAAAGCGTGGCAACGCAAAGAAGTGCCACAGAGAGCCCCTCCTCTTCCAGAGGACGCCTTGCATGCAATGTGTGGGTAGTATTTCTTGTCGAAACAACAACCCCCTCTCCTCGGATTGCAATTGTGCTGTTTTGAAACTGTTTTGCACTTCGGGCCAACCAAGATCTCCCAAAGGTCAGGGGTCTCAAAGTCAGTTACTTTGAGTGTTTCACCGGTACGCCAGAAGCTTCTGACCTGGAAGCAACCTTCTCGACCGAACTCTCCTCTGGTTCCCTCTCCCGAATAGAAATTTGGCAATTTCTTGCTGAATGCCTGAATGCTTTAATCTCC